CAAGTAGCTAGTGTGGGTGTATCATAATAGGAAATACTTTACTTACAATGTTTCTCATAAGAAAGAACACTTGCATTTTTACTTGCGACGATCACACAACCAACAACAGCAAAGTGTAATAGTAATAACTTCTTCGCGAAAAATTAATTTACAAATTTTGTTTAAATTAGAAAAAAAAAGAAAACAATAAAAGAACGTCAGTTGTCAACTATCATCAAGGATTTAAAATCCAATACAAGGTGAGTTTTGCCAAAGTTGGCTATGAGAAAATGTGCAATTTCCCCCCTAAAAATAAAATAAAATTTTCCATTGTTCCGAAATCTTCTGGAGAAGATGTTTTTCTTAATCTGGCCTTATCGGACGACCTTATTATTGGTTCATGAAAAAGGGTTTTGATTCAGTTTTTTCCATCTGTAGCTTTTTTTGGTATGGTTGAATCCCAACGGAATAAAATGAAAGGGAAAAGTGAAATGGTGAGTCGTAACAAAGAAAATATTAAATAAACACCCTGCAGTCAATCAATAGTTCTTATCGATCGGTAAAACTGTTTGTGTGCATATGCGAAGTGTACATTTACACCGAATCACCGGAAATCGCCATTTATCGCCAAGATGTAAATCATGGCACAACGAATAGGTAGTCCAATTGGAGCAGCTGATGTCTTGATTAACTGTCAAAGTGGCAAAATTTACTTGAAATCGATGCGCAATGCTGCCAAATTTTTGAAATATTATAAGGAAAAATTTGACAGATAATCGAGACAAAAAAAATGTTTTTGTTTTGATACATCACCTTATTATTGCATCATGATGTAAATCTAGTAATTGCCAGGGATAACTAGATCAATCAACGACGACACACGACAAATGTCTGTCCCATGGCACAATGAATAGGTAGTCCCATGATGCAACAATAAGGTGATGTATCAAAACAAAAACTTTTTTTGTCTCGATTATCTGTCAAAATGTTCCATATAATATTTCAAATGGTTGGCAACACTACACATCGAATTCAAGTAAAAATTTCCCACTTTGACAGTTAATCAAGACATCAGCTGCGCTAAATGGACTACCTATTCATTGTGCCATGTGTAGTCCATTTGGAGCAAGTAGCTGATGTCTTCAATAACTGTCAAAGTGCGTAATTTCTACTTGAATTCGATGTGCAGTGTTGCCAACCATTTGAAATATTATGAGGAACATTTTGACAGATAATCGAGACAAATACAAAGGTTTTTATTTTGATACATAACCTTATTATTGCATCATTGTCTGTCCCAGAAACAGGAAAAATGTAAAATATTTTACTACGACAACAAATATAGGAAAAAATCGGTAGATAATTGCAGTTTGGGATTGCGGTTTCTTCTGTCAAACACAAACTAAATATAATCAATGGTATGTTGTGTTTATGTTTGCCATTTTTCAAAAGAAAAGTTCCGTTTCAGAACCTAAAAGAATCTACTCATTTTACAAGTTTTGCAGCTTTTTACCCAAAACCCGCTCCTGAATCCCCAAAACTAGTAAACTAAATTTAAGAGAACACAAAACAAAACTCTTTGTAAACTTTTTACTCGAAAAATTTATCCGCGTAAAAATGGTAAACAGGAATGCCAACTTCTGATTAAAAAGTACTGGAACAGACCAAAACTTTGAGAAAAAAAATTGTAATCAGCTGATAGCTGTGGCCTAACTTGTAATAATTATCTACATGAAACCGACCAATAATTTTCATTATCTACACCATTATTTTGTTTTACTCGCTTCACCACAAATATTAACAGAAAATATCTATTAACAATTGTATTTTTTTCTTATCATCTTCTTTTTCTGCTTCAGACTTTAACCCTGAGCTTGAACCTGAATGCCACAGTGATGTAGTAGCGTCAATGAATATATCGACCAACGAAGCAAGTTGGAATTAATTAAATAATGTTAGGGCCGAGAGTGGTCCCAAAACTACACACCAATAATAAAAAAACTTCAGCATTATTTGGTAGTTTTTACCTATAAAAGAATGGCCAACGAAGCTAATTGTACTAAATTACATAATCTTAGGAACCGAGTGGTCCCAAAACTACCCACCGATAATAGAAAAGAACTTCAGCATTTTTTGGTAGTTTTTACCTTTAAAAAGAATGGGCATACTTGTCATAAGGTGCATCGTATTCAAATCGAGGGAATTGGCAGAATACTTCAATCAATGCAAAATGATCCATCATTACAAAACGGCGAACAATATTATAAACAGCCCTGTGCAAATGCTATGAAAATGTGGCAAGACATAAAGATGAGAAATCCACAAATATTCAAAGGCATCAAATTCCTGAATAAAGCAAAAACAGAATTTCGATTTCTGACCCTAGAAGAACTCAGGAACATGTATATGCATCCAGAAGAGTATTACACCACGGAAGATCAACAAAGGCGAGTTATTATAAAAATGTGTGAAGATGCCAAAAAAAGATTTAAACAAGGAGGTGGAGCCGGTAGTTGATTAATCGACTTCGTATATTTTAACTGAACCATCGATCTTTGATATTTAAATGAACCAGGCTTTCCCTGAACCGTAAGAAGAAAATGTGTGATAATGTTAATTAGGAAAAAAGTTTTTTTTTTTAATTTATTTTAAAAAATTTTTACTTTTTGTAAAAAAATCGACTTAAGGCCGAAACACATAGGAATGTGGCCAAAACTCATATATTTTTTTTTATTTCTTTTTGAGCTCCCATAACACCCTTTTTATGTGTGTCACTCTTTAGACATTTTTTCGTACCAAATAAATTGGTCGATTTGCGTAAACTCGACTTACGCATCTCTATGTCGAATGTGGTGGGTGATGCCAAGTTTATGTTCTGCCTTGGTCTACTTAACAAGGTGAACACAAGGCCTATTAATAAGGTCACAAAGAAACGTCAAGATTCTATAGAAAAAATCGACCCCCGACGAGGGTCTCACGAATTTTTTTCTATAGGAAAAAATCGACCCAAACGAGAGTCTCACGAATTTTTTTCTATAGGCAAAAAATCGACCCAAACGAGGGTCTCATGAATTTTTTCTATAGAAAAATTCAAGAATTAACGATTTTTTTCTATAGAAAAAAATCGACACCCGAAGAGGGTCTCACAAATTTTTTTCTATAGAAAAAAAACGACCGGAACAAGTTGAGTTTAGGGGCTCATCTCCGATTTTTCTGAAATTTTTGTCATAGGTAGATCTCGTCTCCCTGATCACGAAAATATATGACTTTCATGGGGGAAGTCCATAATTCCCGAGATATGGACCTCTAAAGTTCCGAAATTCGGCCGGGGATTTAAGACTTTCTGCTATGGACAGGTGGAAAAATTGGCTACGCGATTAAAATTTCCTTTATATCAAAGTTTTTCTTATATAGCCGGCCTTCGGCCGGGGATTTAAGACTTTCTCCTATGGACAGATAGAAAATTCGGCTATGCGATCGAAATTTTCTTTTAAATAAACATGTTTCTCTAAATATCCGTCAATATTACCATTATCGGCCTATAAATGTCCACGTTATGAGCATATGAATTCCGGAACTTCAGAGGTCCATATCTCGGGAAATATGGGTTTCCCCCATGAATGTCATATATTTTCGTGATCAGGGAGACGAGATCTACCTATGACAAAAATTTCAGAAAAATTGGAGATGAGCCCCTAAACTCAACTTAAGCCTTTTTTTCTATACAAAAAATTGACCCCAACGACGTGGGTCTCACGAATTTTTTTCTATAGAAAAATTCGCGAATTCACCAATTTTTTTCTATAGAAAAAAATCGACACCCGAAGAGGGTCTCACGAATGTTTTTCTATAGAAAAAATCGACCCCTGACGTGGGTCTCACGAATGTTTTTCTATACAAAAAATCGACCCCAACGAGGATCTCACAAATTTTTTTCTATAGAAAAAAAATTCATGAGACCCTCGTTGGGGTCGATTTTTTTCTATAGAAAAAAATTTGCATAGATCCTCGTTGGGGTCGATTTTTTGTATAGAAAAACATCGATTCCAACGATTGTCTTACAAATTTTTTTCTATAGAAAAAAAAAAACGACCCCAACGAGGGTCTCACGAATTTTTTCTAATGATGAATTTTAATTTAAAGAATTTTTTCTATAGAAAAAATAATGGACAGAGGGTCTAATGAATTTTAAATATGCCAAGCTGAACTGCCGGCACAGCTGAACTTAACGTGTTGTTTTATTTGTGTTTATGACTAATCATTTATGTTTGCCAACCGAAATACATTTTTTGGCAATGATGATATCATTTAGATAACGAAAAAAATAACAACAACATAGCTTCATCATTCAATGCGGAATGGGCGAAAACGTGTATGGCAATAATAGACCCCACCCCAAAATCTCCATGAGGGGTCAATGATCTTAAATACTATACGTTAAGTCCTAGGTTTTGTCTCCTTGAAACCCTTTTCGGGTCAGTGTTGATTTAAATATTGGAAAAGAAATCAAGTCCAAAGCCCTGGACCACATCTAATTTTTTTTTTTTTTTTTTGGAACAAACATTGTGGATGGTTAAAAAAAGAGAAGTTACATATTTAGGTTTCTTGGTTTGTTTGTTGTTTAATAAATTAAAACGAAATCTTATTAATAATACACGCTATGAGCATTCCGAGCATTTCTTGTTTTTGTAAAAATTAAAAAAAAAAGAATAATAAAAAAGGAATATGTTTTACAAAAAACATTGTTTTTTTTTTTAATTACATATAAAAAAGGCGAGAGAAAGAATACAATGCAAATACAATTTGAACTTATGCTGCTGCTGTTGGAGGGAGGGGGGAAGAGTGTTCTGGTGTTACACACTCCATATACCTAACTCCCCCCTGCTCCCCTTCTCATCATGTATTGAACGGTAAACGGTACGTAAAAATATTTTTCTTTTAAACATAAATATATAGTGTAGCTGGCTGTTTGCTGTTGTTGTTGTTGATGTTACACGATGCACACAAAATGACGACGCACAGACTTATTTGAAGATCTTGCCTTGATTGAATTTACGACCCTGTTTGTCGGTACCAGTCCATGAGAAGTATTGTTCAACCAATTTCTTGGTTTCCTCACTCTTGGGATCCAATTTCTTCCAGTCATAGACTTCGTAGTCGACTTGCCAGTCGGGGCTCAACTTGAAGGCCAGTTCTTGTCCGCGCCACACCCAAATACCGGAGATGCTGGAGTTGTTGTCCTCACCGAACAGGCACATCGAGGCAAAGGCCTGCTTGCGCATCTTGTCGATACGTTGGTACATGCCACCGATCAAATTGCAAGACATGAAGGTCTTGGTCAATTCCTCGTTGTATTTGTATTCACCGAACCAGATGGAATAGTGTTCGGGATCGAACTTCTCCCAGAAGTAGGGAATGGAGACTTTCTCATCTTCGTTGGAGTAGACGCGTTTGAAGTCGTCAAAGTTGAAGGTACCCTTGGGCAGGGCATCGAAGGGATCCTTGGATTTGGGCTCGGCGGCCAAAGCTAAATCGGCGGCATCGAGTTCTTCCTTTTTGGGTTCTTCCTTCTTGGGGGCGGGCTTCTTTTCCTCCTTGACCTTCTTTTCTTGTTGGGGTTTGGCACCGGTCTTGGCTTGGAATTCGGCGTATTTCTTGGGATCGAACACCAAGGCCTTGTCGCAGATGCTGTAGTTGCCGACGACAGCCTTAACCTGTTTCTGGTTCAAGATGGTGTTGAACCAACGGTTCAAGTTGGTGTATGGCTTGCGGGCGGCGGCATCCAAAACGTATTGGTAGACATGCAACAAACTGCAGAACACAACAATATCGGCCAAGGTGATGCGTTCACCAACCAAGTAGGTGGATTCCAGGAATTTCTTGTTCAACAAGTTCAGAACGACTTCAACGTCTTGTTTGGCAGTGTTGCCCTTCTGTTGGGGCATAATGCCCAACAAGGGGAATACCAAGGCACAGGAGGCGGGGACGATTTCATTATCGGCGAATGACAACCATTGTTGGACCTGGGCTTGGGCGAAGGGGCATTTGCCACCACGCAATTGTTCACTGGCCAAGAAATAGGCGATGGCGTTGGATTCGCTAAGGAACTTGCCGTCCGAGGTTTCGAAAGCAGGAACCTAAAACAACAGCAACAACAACAACAAATGAAAAACAACACATTATTTAAAAATCCAACATAACCTCACTTTCGGCATTTTCAATGATGACGTTTACAGACAGCCAACTAACCGGTCGTATGAACCGGCTGGTTGGTTGCTCGCAAACACACGCACGCAGACACACTCCAAATATTCCAAAACTTACCTTACCGCTGGGGAACTTCTTCAAGAATTCAGCCGACTTATTTGTTTCGCCGAAAACAAAATCGCTAGCAACCTTCACTTGAGCACCCGAATACTGGGCAGCAATCAATGCCTTATAGGCACGGAAGTTTTCTGGGTATGTGTATAGAGTCTATGGACAAGAGAGAGAGGAGAACAAAAATTTCCAATTAATTATATTTCGAAAGTCACATATTTCGCTGCTCCGCTGCCACGACGGACAAAGATGTCAGGATGTTTTCGATTTTTGTTGAACAAAAAAAAAAATTATCATCGTAAAAATTTTTACTTACTCCTGCCATCGTTGATTTGCCGGAAAGAAGGAGGACAGTCGCGAAATTTGCGTGACAGTGTGACAATTGAAACGTCAAAATCCAACAACAACAACTTTGATGACCTTGCAAATTAAATTGTGGCGTATCGAGCGTATGACGTTTGACAGTGTACAGGGTTGTATTTTGCGGCAGTAATTTTGTGGCGCGGCGTAAAATCAAATTAGGGGTATTCAGGTTTTTTTTGTATCAAGGGGGTATTTTTACTAGAGGGCAATCAAAGGTGTGGATTTTTTGAGGAATTTTGCAGCCTAAGTTCTACTCCTAACAGCCTAAGTTCTACTCCTAGTTGTATTTTGTAAGAAAAAATTTTTAGATTGTAGATAAATTGTAGATTTCTATAAAAAAATGTAGAACGTTAGTTCTACATAAAATAAATTCGTAGAACCTCAGTTTGGCGATTTTTTGCTATAGAAACAAATTCGAAGACCTTCACTTTTATAAAAAAAAACAAGTAAAAAATGTCAGTCGGTGTTGCCGACAGATATATACCCTCAGCCTATGGTTTGCTGAGGTCTTCGAAATTAAACACAGATTTTATTATTAGTTTTTTTATAAGAAATATGTTTTTATCAAAGAGGTTTCGGATTTAATGTTGATATCATTTTATAAAATATTGAACATTTGTGAGGGAGGTTTCGGAAGGAGTGGACTACTGGGTCCCATCTTCGGAATTGATATAGGGTTGGTAAAGATAATAGGTTGTGCAAGATTTGGTTGAAATATGATATTCCATTCGCCTGATATAGCATTTATAAATGTTGCAAATTTTGACCATTTGTGAAGGAGTGGACCAATTGGTCCCATCTTCTTCGGACTTAATCTAGACTTCGTAAATATAATGGATTGTGCAATGTTTGGTTCACATCGGACATTCCATTCACCTGATATTGGATTTAGAAATATTTAAAATTTTGACCATTTGCGGGGGAGTTACTAGAAGGAGTAAACCAATCGGTCCCATCTTCCTACTTGATCTAGGCTTGGTAAAGATAATAGGTTGTACAAAGTTTCATTAAAATCGGATAGTCCGTTTGCATGTTATTATAAAATTAATTTTTAACACAATTTTGACCCTTTTGTGGGGGAGGTACCAGAAGGAGTGGACCGATATTCGCCATCTTCAAACTTAAAATAAATTTAGTAGAAATATTAAGATGTGCAAAGTTTGAATGAAATTAGTTGCTGCCTTCGAGAGTTATCGTGCGCACAACCTCAGTTCGGCGATATTTTCTGCAGACGATTCGATGATCTTTTTATATAGAAAACAAAATCGTTGAACATTGGTACAACTATTCAAGGTAGGCAATAGCAACTTATAAATTAAAATTTTTTTCATATTGTGGATTGCGAAAGTCGTAACAAAATATGTGACTGTGTGGGTAATGTTTTGAAAAATATAAAAAAATGTATTCTAAATTCAATTTGTTTGCAGATGAATTTTACAAAACTGGTAAGAAGAAGTTTTCCCAACTTGATTTTGAAAAGAAAACCTGACATTCCATTTATTTTTCGCGTTTTTGGTAAAATTTTACAAATATGTCAAATGAACAGAACGACCTGTTGCATTTGTTTATATTTATTCTGACAACATTATAGTCCAAAAGGTAGAGAGGTATATTTTTTCTTTGTTGACAAAAGATACCTATCTCGTATAATTGTACCATGCGTAGAAACTTTTGTTCGCAATGCGGCGGACAGAGATTAAGCACATTTTTAACTCGTTGGGAATGTTAAAAAACAACGTTTTCGTATTTGGAGCTCTGAGAATCCTTACGTAATTGAAAAGAGGTCACTACATGCAGAAAAAGACACCATTTGGTACGCTCTTTGGTCCGAAAGTGTGATTGGATTAATCAATTAAAAAGTAACAGTTCAATTTGATGGTGTGTACACCAGTTTAATGCACATTTTTTAAACATGTTTTACGAAAATTGTCATTTTATATGGCATATGACCTTGTATAATTGTACCATGCGTAGAAACTTTTGTTCGTAATGCGGCTGACGGAAAATTTTGAACCAAATTTTTCTGCAGCGATGAATCACATTTCTCACTCGGTTGTAATGTTAAAAAAAAACAACGTTTTCGTATTTGGAGCTCTGAGAATCGTTAAGTATTGAAAAGATGTCACTACATGCAGAAAAAGTCAATGTTTAGTACGCTCTTTAGTCCGAAAGTGTGATTAGGTTAATAAATTAAAAAGTGACAGTTCAATTTGATGGTGTGTACACCCCTTTAGTATACATTTATGAACATTTTTTACGAAAATCTTTATTGTATATGACATATATACCAAGCACGATTAAATTATGATTTATTGTAAAACATTTTGGGTATAAATGCACCTTCAAGTCCGATTTACACTGAACATAATTTATTTGACAGATATATGAAGGGAATCTGCGCTGAGCAAAATGAACTTAAGGGACTAGTTCAACAACTCAATTGCAACTCGTTCCGTTCGTTCATTTTGACAGTGTTTCGTTACATCTTCTCTTCTTCTTCTTTGAACTAGTTCGTTCGGGAACGACAAACACACACAACTCTCTATAGTACACGAAAAAAATGATGGAATATCAGCCGTTTTCGTCCGGTCCGTGCAATTTTTCACAAAACTTTATCAATTAACTGGAATTTTTGCATAATTTTATGTGGAAAAATTGTAGAAAAGTAATAAAATTTTCCAAATAAAACAACAGTGAAAAGAAAATATTACAGTTTGGCATAGAAAAACTGTGTGAAAAGTCGTCGGCCTTAAAAGCATTTTCCTTTTTTCTGCTTTTGCGAAATATATATAGAAGGGGCCCCCAAATTGTGTGTGAAGAAAAGAATTGGAAAAAAGAAGGCAAGCAAAAGAAAGCGAGACGAATGAAGAAAAAAATGTAATAGGTTAATAAAATAAAAAATTAAAAAAAAAAAAATAAGTGAAATAAAATAAAAGCGAAGAAACGAAAAATAAGTGGAAACGTTTTTGGGTTTTTTCTCCGCAATGAAAATCTAGACATGAAAAAAGTGTGTTTTATTTTATTTTACTATTCGTAAAAACAGAAAATATACGTTTTGTTACGGCAATGAAAAAATCCAATCCAAGTACATAGTGATGAATGTGTGACGTAGCTGGAATTAAATAAAAAAGAAAAACTAAAACTTCCAAAGAAAAAAAAAAAAAATAAAACAACTAAGAAAATTTTGACTAATTAAAATCTAATGTTTGTATGCCATCTTGCCTGTCTGCTGCTGCTACCGGAGGAAGAATTTTAAAGGCTAAAGTGTGTGTGGATTTTTGGGATTTCTAAGCCACAAATATATGGCGTTCAAGCTGAATATGTAAGTCTACTATTTTTTCCAAAACGTCATTATTTTCATTTAGAGTTGGGTGGCAAGCAAAAACTATTCATCATTTTTTGTTTTTAGGAGTATGGAGGAAGCCTTTGCACAGCTTTGTTTTTTTAGTTTTTGTCTTTTTTTTTAATTGCAATTTATGTCATCTACTTTGTGTGTTTTATTTGATAAATGAATTTGTCCCTGTTTCGTTTTTTTCGGTTGCATATTCCATTTGTTGTTGTTGGTTTTTTTCTTTTATTATTTTAGTTGATGTTTTTTTCTCCCAATCATTTGTAGTGTGTCTACGTTTCATGTCTCTGTCTCTTGAGCCGTAACTCAAACCCACTTGCTTGCTTATACGCTCTCTCTCTCTATCTCTCTCTCTCTCTGTGTCTCTCCCTCTTGAAACATCTTGTTTTGGCAGCAGCCGCTGCAGACATCATGACAACATGTAACAACAAATTTTTTATTAATTTTTTTTCTTCATTTCTCTTTTTTGTTTTGTTTTTATTTATTTGTTAAACTTGTATGCCAGAGTAAGGAGAAAGTTGGAGGGGGTCATGAATATTAACGTGTATGTGTTTGTCCGTGCATTGTTGATATTGCCATTTAATATGTGCCTATTGCTGTTGTTCTTGTTTTATAACATTGCATATAAACGACGACGTTGACGTTAGTTACCTAACCTTAGATAACTAGACAAACTAACGGTTATTCTCCTCTCATATATAGATGTGTACAGACGTGTGTACTGTGTTTTTTTTTTCTATGTACAGTAAAAACTCGCTAATCCGGATAATTGATTGCAGACCCCAATCCGGATTACCGAGACTTCCGGATTATCGAGTTTTATTAATTGGTTTAAATTTATATTAATTTGGTGATAATTTAATTATTTTTATGTTTTTATTAAAAATGAAAATTATTCATTTCAAAAATATGTACTTTGAATATAATAGGTACCATTTTCAATTAAATTTGCAACGATTTTTTTATTAAAATAAAGAGTAACGTATCTTTACAATCCGGATTTTTGAGTCAAATAGGTCAATCAATCCGGATTATAGGATACGCAGTGGGTTGTGAAATGCAGTCCGGATTACCGAATAATCCGGATTGTCGAGGTCCGGATTATCAAGTTTATACTGTATATGTAACTTGATGAACGGACAAGTGTAATGTGTGCTGCTGCTGCTTCTGCTACTGTTGAGACAGGGTGCCTGCCTGCCTGCCCTGTCATGCATGCATACATGCCCTGCCGTGTAATATTTTCTTCCCCTTTTTTGTATTTTTTTTATTGTTGTTAGTTCATTACCGATGTTACTTGTCGTTGTTATTGTTGTTGTTGTTTTTCTATTCACTTATTGTTATTGCAAATCTTCTCCATTATTTTCTACATGATGATGTGCTCTTTGTTGTTGTTTTATTTCATTCTTCCCATTCATTGGGCATTTAATTGACCAGGTTATGTGTTTGCTCTGCTTCTTCTTCTTTTGTAATAGTTGATGTATTTTTAACACTAGTTCTGCTTCTTCTTCTTGATATAACTGATTTACAATTGATAGCAGCACATCATCACCCCTGTCAAACGGTATGTGTGAGAGTGTCTGTTTCTCTCCCTGACTGTGACTGTGACGGCGATGATGATGTTGCTGTTGTTGTTATATTAAGCCTACCTTAACATTAGATATGCAGAGCGTGACCTTCATTACAGCAAACATTACTAGGTACGGCGACGACGACTACGACGACTTACGATGTTGACTATTTTTTGTT